AGCAAAAAAACAGAAAAACAACGCATGTAGAATGGAAGTTTAATGACAAAGCCAGAAAATCATGTCTCAGTGCTTTTGAACCACCACTTCTACTCAAGCTGAAGAAAATGAAAAAACTCTAAAACATAGGGGAGCTCACCGCTCCTTAGACCAGATGATGCAATTGCATTGCCAGAAGATTCTCTTAGTATACGAATTACTGCATCCAAATTATCCAGGCCCACAACAATGCCTATTTCAACAAGAAAACACATATGAACTATGAGTTGTAGTGTGGTGACATAAATATAAATCCAGTAAAATAGTTACAATAACACAGCAGTACACAAAGACAAGCTACCAATATCTTAATGCTAGAATATCATAATCTCAATACAACAATGAATGAGTTAAGCATCAATACTTAGGAGTGAAGAACCAAATATTAACCGTTCCCTGCATGCTTTAAAACCAAAAGAGTAAAATTAAATAAAAAACAGTAACCAGGTAGGTATGAGGTAAGACAAACTATCCAAGATTTGAAGCCATTAAATGTCCCAACAGAGTAATATGAAAGCAGAGCAAAAACATTATCCCTGAAATCAGAATCTATATTTTCCAATGAACGTTTTGCTGAATAGAATTACATAGTTAATAGGAGCAGGGGAACTCAAGAATTTGAACTAACCAACCCGTGGAAGTGAAATATTTTTGAATTACCAAAAAGTTTGCCACACTAGATCAACAACATATTTTTGAATTACTCAAATGGCAATTTAATAAGGCATATATCTTCAGATGATGGCCTCTTGACAGTTTATCTTTTTCTTTCAACATTGAGGTCTCTTCAAAGTTTGGACAATACCTTTCTGCTTTTAAGTTTTGAATGCGTTCAAATAAATCATAAGAATTTCACTATCCAAGAACACTTCCCAAATTGTAGTTGATTTCAACGCATCACCTCGTCAATTTTTTCAAAGACACTACGATACTAGTCAAACTGTCAGTACCTAAAAGTGCCTCATGTGGTTCCTCTACAAATAATACTTACATTAAAGGAGACGAAGCAGTGTAGTAAAAACAAAAACACATAAAAAACCATATAAAGTCAAGTAAGAACTGATGAAAGCAGCACCCCAAGTAGCGGGAATTACAAAATGATTTCTTGAGGGAAAACAAATTCCAGCAAGAAAAACATTTTCTTGAAATAGCTTACCTACAAATATATTAAAATAGCGTATACGCATGAGTGAGCAAGTGGGTCAGTGGGCGGGCATTTATACTAAAGAGACTAAACTTAGGTATTCACCTGCAGCAACTCCTTTAGACCCATCTGCTTAGGTTGCCCATTATGAATACTGCGAATGGACAAAATACCAAATGAAAATCCAAGCAATGTGATGAATCATTTGAGCAAGAAAGTTCAATCAAGAAAATATGGTGTACTTCTAGAACAATGGAAAGCCATAATTTAGTAACACCAGAATCATTTTGAACGAAGAAATTGATCCAATCAGATCGTTAATAAATTTCATTATGTGTGGCATTGCAATGAAGGCTACAATGTACACATGCTTCTTGGTTGCACCACTATAAATTTCTAATACTAAAAATTTCTAAGGCTACGTTCTAGTGATATTCGCAATATTTCACTTACATTTCTGTTTTCTTCAATGAAAAAAATGGCAGCTTACTGCCATGGACAGGTATTCCACACCTTCACAAAATTACCTTATGTTTGTCCACTTGTATCTCCCAAAACCCACTCCAATCTCAAAAACAACACCTTATAAAATATTTCATACAAGCTGGAAACCAAACTCAGTGGCCTAAATTTACTCTTTCCCATTGAACCTTTTGCCTTTGCAATAAGGCATGTGTATGTCTAATAGGTTATTGCATTTATCACCCATCCTTTTGGAACATTTCAAAGGCTTTTATTGAATTTGCCTCCAAAATATCCCAATTCCCAACAATGTTGAAACAAATCAAATGAAAAACCAACAGGCCCAGAGCCTTCAAAACGACGGCTTTGTGTTTAGTTTTGTCATACAATCCTTGTACACCTCTACCAATATTTGGGATATTTTTATTACAGCTCAGCTTTTGTCTAAAATTATTTAATTCAACGACAATAGACTAATTTAATTTTCTTTATAAAATTAGTTTCCAAACCAAAATATCTTGGTTCCTTGAAGTTATAATATTCAATCAAAGTAATAACTTTCAAGGCCAAAATGCAAGTTTCAATTTTTAGCCCTAAAAATCAACTAGATTAGTATAGGGAGAGAAATTGCATACACCAATGAAGAACCAAAAGCCAGAATCTTAAGTCTCTACCGCTGTTCTTGAATGATGATAAAGATATCACTCACCCAACCATGTTACAACTAAAGCTGCATTGAAGAGATGTGAGGCGATAAAGATTATTCAGAAGAATTCATGGGTCAGATCCTTGCCTGAGCTGAAAAGAGGATGAAAACAGATCATAATCCAATTGCAGAACCCGTTTTTTATTTGAGAAGAATAGCAAAACCGTTTTACTAGTTAAATCTCCCATAGTATTGTGAATTCTTCAGAATGTTAGTATTTAAAAGCTACAAAGTACAGAGGAGAACAGAATTAAAAATAAATAAATAAATTGCACACCTCAATGACAACATGCATTCCAGAACGATCACTTTCATCCCTAATATCGCTTATTCCTTCTAAACTCTGTAGAAAAAAGGAAAAAAGTATAAAGAAAAGCGGAAAAAGAAAAGAACTAAAACGAGATAAGAATTAACAACAATGTATGACCTTATTACTTTAATAGTTTCATGTGAGTGATACAGCAGTTAGAAGTGCAATGCATCAACACAAAAATGGTGAAATTTGGAACAAAGAGATAATACCTGTAACTAGAGAATTCTTGGGAAGATGATAAACAGAGACAAGCAGTATTATTATATGAGGTCAACATGATATCAACAAAATAACTTAAATGAATATAACGGTACTTATTGGATTTAATATAGTGACATATTAAATAAGAATTATAATACAAACAAATGAATTTGGACCCTAAACACTGGAACCTTTCAGATTACAATCAAATAACATATATAAAAACCAATCACAAAACTACTTTTTAAAGAAAAATTACAATCCAGCAAGTTTAAAGGATCATTTGCTACTTGCAAGAATGTCACCTTATTTTCCACAAGTTCGGCTATCTTCAACATGTGGGCTGATTTGTTGGTTTGGTGAGGGATCTGACTCATTCAAAAAATATAAAATCACTAAAAAAATAAACTCTTTCATGAGAATCTAAGACTACATGCATATTTAATGGAAACCAGACAAGAAGACCAAGGCAAACCTCCTTTATGATACTTGCACTTCTCTTTGTTCTAGAATCAAGCAATTCAACATAACTGTATAGCCAATAATTGAGATTCTTTAACATCAAAGTTTCAAATCATCTTAACGGATAACTCAACTACAGGAGCAACACGAAATTTCTCAAAGACTAACCACTTCCAAAAAAGTTATTCAGCACCGCTACATGCAAAAAGGAATTCTCTGATTGGCTTTAAAGGAATTTACGGAAGATAATTGTATATGATGCTACATTAAAGACTTGTAACTGATGCCTAAACATATTTGGTTGCCATTAAACCCATATTGTTAATACTAATCATGGATACACTGTTTTATGAAGTTTCTATGTAAAATTGATGCACAATTGATTAGTTTTGTATTTCCTAAAGTGTCATTCAAAAATTCCATTCTTTTTTAGAAAATTTTGTCATTTTCATTAATTTAAATATTTCCAGCAATATTTTCAGTGACATCACGATTTTCATCCTTGGATATAACAAGGGGAATGATACACTAGATTCATTTCAACTATCTTATAAGTTGATAGAAAAGAAGCAATTTTTCCACATAGACAAAGACTCAAGTTTACGTCAAAGTCTCTTCCCCAACAATATGTTGTGATAGTTCAGTGAGGGATGCATAATGCTGTCTTTTCTCCAAGTTAGTACATAATGTGTAAAATGTAAGGATAGGATGAAGATCATTGTTTGTCCATAGTCAGATAGCTTTAAACTTGTGGTGTTTACTATTCAAGGAGGCTGGAGTCAGTTGGGTAATTCCACAAGGGTGCCCTTCATTAATTAGTGAAAGTCTTGCTGCTTCTGGTAGAGGAAGTAAGGGTCGGGTCCTATAGGGTTGTTGCAAGATGGCTGTTTTGTGGGTGATCTGGATGAAGAGGAATGAGGGGATGGGGATAGAAGAGCTGTGGG